TTAACTTGCTCATCACTCCAAGCTTTGTATATTTAAAACCACTGTATTGTACTCAATTTATAGTTGTATGATAAAAGTTTTCTTCCTCTTAGATTATCAGTAATTCTTAATTCAGTTTCCTTCAAATTTCAACTGGTTGGTACTAAAAAAAATGCAAAAGAAAAATAAGAATACTAGTAAATATGGAACCACAGTGATGTAGGATCAATTAAGAAGAAGAATCTGAATAACAGAATCACAGCAAGGAGAAGAAGAGAAGAGGAAGAGAGGGAGCACATAGGGGAGCAAGAGGGAAGACTGGGGAGGAAATGTGGGCAACAAGCCAATGTGAATAATTTTCATTCAACTGATTTGTTTTAATTACAAAACCATATAAATAGTTAAAGCAACCTAAAAGCATAATGGCTTTGTCAAACCCATTAATACAAACCTAATTACTAAAGTATAAATAAAAATCCATAACTACTAGAACAAAGATATAGATATCCTTATCAACTCTCCTGACGTGGGAAGAAACTCGGCCATGTCGAGTGGATAAATCACAAAAAAGTGGCAATCAATCTCCCGGCCATAAGCTAAGTGGTTGAACAATCTTCTTGCGACGCTTATAAATACTTGTGATTGGTGGTCTGAATCTGTTGTCCCCACCAATGTCTGTCAAGGAAGATCTTGCTGACTCTTATAAAACTCCAATCAAGCTGCTGGAGTCTCTCTTTGGAAACTATGTACAATCAGAATCAGGGCGATCTACCCAACGAACAAGAAAGCGTTGAATCTATCTGTCATAGGTCAACAAAATATATTCATCTAAAATAGTATCAATTTTATCTTTTGTGTGATGTGATATGTGGAATCGGAGTGGAAATAGCAATAGATTCAAGTTGGTGTTCCACAGATGGAGGTAGACTAGGATCCTCAGAAGGATTAAAACGGTCTTTGTAAACAACTAAGTCCTCAACATTGCAAGTAGAACGGTAGCTAAAATGGGAAGAAATATCTATGATATATGCATTTGGACCAATACGCTTTAAAATTTTAAAAGAACCAGCACTACGTGCTTGCAACTTGGAAGCGGGTCCAGGTGGACGTTGATCTAAGTCCTCAACATTGCAAGTAGAATGGTAGCTAAAATGTGATGGAATATCTATGATATATGCATTTGGACCAACACGCTTTAAAATTTTAAAAGGACCAACACTACGTGCTTGCAACTTGGAAGCGGGTCCAGGTGGACGTCGTTCTGATCTGATTCGGATGATAACATAATCCCCCCGTGTGCTTGTGCTGCGCACATAAAATGAGCATGCAAATTTATTCTACCCATGTGAATTTTTATGTCAACAGATTAATCTCAAAAGTTATTTATTTGATGGCTGATGCTACTCTGCTAATTGAAAATCATTTTCTCATATTTCAGGGTGGTCATATTATCTTCTTCCAGAGCCTTAGTCTTCTAGGTTATTGTCTATTCCCTATAGACATCGGTGCCTTAATCTGCATGCTGAAAGACAGTGTGATGGTTAAAATGGTAGTAGTGACTGCTTTGGCTTGGAGCTCTTGGGCTGCATATCCATTCATGAGTACTGATGTCAACACAAGGAGGAAAGCGCTTGCACTTTACCCTGTGTTACTGATGTACATCTCTGTCGATTTTCTTATCATGGCCATCGACTGATGCAACAATGGAGCCTATTCATGGCTTTTTTACAAGGTGCACAATGGGTTCTCAACATAGTGTCTATCCCTACCCCACGATACGTTTCTCGTGCCCATTTTTTGCAGATGATATTTTCTGTCATGTCGAGCTTACCTACACAAGTAACTAACGAATAAACTGAACTCAGAGAATGAATAAACGGTATAATTTGTACCTTTGATAATGATGTGCTGATTAAGAACCTTTGTAATGTACCTAGTGAGAGAGTCGGAAAGTTAAATGAATACTATTATTTTTCTTGTTTAGAGAAGAAAATTCGTAATTAGCTCAGGTCAATAATTTTCTGTTCATTTGGCACTTATCTACATTTGAATTCTTTTTAGAGAAAGTATTTGAATAAATATAACATTTTCATTGGAGTAATGTTATTTATCATCATGATGATAGAATATCGGTGATATGACAACTCATTATCTTTCACCTGCCAAAAAGAGTTTTCGTTAAAAACAAAGAAAAATAGGTGTATTTTTAGAAGTTGAAAAATATTTTCCATAGAAAAAATGCAACCAAACACTTCAAGAGGTAAGTATTTGAATGGAACACTGAGAATATTTATTGACACGGTCAAAATGGTTCACAGCACAGAGAATATGTGTTGTCACGGTCTGGTTCTTACTGTTTTTTATTTTATTGTTGTCAACTTCATAACCTTTGGCTTTTAATAAACTTAGCATTGGTCTGTCACTGTCGAGTATCATGTGTCGATTTCATAGGAAGTGATTCTTTACGTTTTGTGGTCATTCTTGTGACACATTTTTGACTATAATGATACAATAGATAAACTGGACTTGTCCCATATTTTCCTTTGTATTTTTTCCACTTCTAATTTTTAAACCCATAGGATAGGATTCTGTTTTGGAGAAAACGAGGAGAAGGGACCACACAACAAAAACCAATGTTGAGTTCAAATTTTGGTCCAGGTGATTGGCAATTTGGCTTGGAGTCTATCTTCTTCCCCCATTTTAACATTTTGCATTTGTTTGATTCTCATTTTTATAATTTAATTTATTGGCCAAATTCCTTTTTTCGACTAATATATTTCAATGGATATTAAAATAATTTGAGGCGACGTTGATAGAAGATAAATAAAATGATTACTTAATACTTGTATGGAAGGTGTTTAAATCATGAATTACTTCTGATCATACATAATTCGTATTCACATATTTCGCGAGATTCACAGTTACTGTTCACATTTTAGTCATACTTTATGTGATACCCATTACTTAAATTATAATTTAAACGTTCCCTCGAAAAAAAGTGTTAATCGGTTAATACATACATTGACGCTTTTAGAGAGAGGAAACCGGTGGTATGCAACAATTGGTGGGAGAAGATATAAACATTCAATATACATTTAGCCTATGTTTGGTGCAATTAAAAAATTTTAATAAAATCTAAGTTAAAAGTCAAATATTTTTCTTGATTTTAAATCACACATTTCATAGAATCCACAACTTTTCAACCACACATTCCATCAACTTTTATATCAAAATTTACTAAAAATCTGATTTTAATTTCTACAAAACAAGGGCTTAATACATAAAATATATATTTTAAGGAATTTATTTTATATAAAATGTCATTTTCCACTTTGATATTCTAAGAGGAATTTTGAAAAGTTGGCCTTTTCCATTTGAGAGGAGGTCCTACCTGAGATTCGATTATTGTAATATTGATGTAAACTTTTGACTTATCGTTTGCGATTAAACCTTAAATCTCAACGGGGTCGGCGAGGCTTGCCGCCATGCTTGAAAATTCTACGCGTACTAATTTACTAAGTTCGATAGCAACGATAGTAGAAATTTATTGTTTCGTAACTACTAAGTTTTATAGAAATTTATTGTTTCGTAACTACTAAGTTTTATAGGCTTGAAAATATTTATTTAGACATCAAATGACCACGAGTACGCGATAAGCGTGTGATATCTAGTCGAAATGCTAAAATTGTTCAAAAAAGAGCATTTAATCCCTGTTTGGTGGGGGATGAAATTAGATTTTAATCAAATTTTGATCAAAGTCGATAAAATGTGTTGTTGAAAAATTATGAATTTCACGAAATATGTAATTAAACTTAATTATTGTGTTTGATCTATATTAAAATCCATCAAACATGAGCTTAATATAGTACTTGTTTGATCCTTATTTTCAAATTATGTTTTCTTTTCTTATGCACCAAACATGCATTTTGATATTGAAATATTTTCTCTTCCGGTCAAATATCACGTGCCACCTGAAAGTTTAATCGACGTGGCACTGACCAGATATATATATATTGTGGACACCATGTGAAATATCCCACCGGTCCCCCACCTATAAGGGCGGCACTTGGCGCCCCTACTGGAGCCCCCTACTGCAGCTTTATTCGTGAAATAATAATAAATAAAAAAACAATGCAAAAATGTTTTATGTCCCTCTTTACAACCAGGAAAAGGTACGAGTTTTAAAATAGTAATTTTTTTTTGAAAAATATGTGATTAAAAAAAATATATGTATATATATATTTTTTGAGTTTACATGCATATTTATTATTTGAATATGTGATTAAAAATGTGTTTGAAAAAAAAAATATGTGATTGAAAATTAGGAATTTTTTAAAAATTTACGTGCATATTTTATTGTCAGAATGTTTAATTGAAAATAAATTTCAAAAAAAATTATTTTAATAGTTATTAAACATGAGTTAAATAATAAACACATTCAATCAAAAAAATTTGACGAAAATTAACCTTTTGCTAATCATTATCAAAAATTTTAAGCCTATGAACGAAAATCACTATAAAAAAAAAAATAATAAATTCTACGTACTCATTTTCAATCACACATTCAGCTTCTGTTTGATGCACATTCTTAAGGAAAGAATGTATTTTAAATAGTAATGTGATTGAAAAGTTTTGAATTTACGTGTAATATTATTTTATTGAAAATTATGTCGTTGAAAATGAGTATCGAAAGAATTCATTTTTTTAAGAATATCGATCAAACATGACCTAAAAATAACAAAATAATAATGCTACTTGTCCATTCGAAGTGACAGCCCGCTCGCGCTTTATAAAATAATTTCGGAGTAGTTATCTGGGGTGTCAATTTCGAATGTATCTAATTTTCTTTCTTCCTATTTTTTAACATAAATTTTCTTAAAAGTTTGCCATTCAAAACTTTATTTTACTCGATTGTCAAAGAGGGGGCTAGAATAAGAAATTGTCAGACACAGATTTTGACACGTTGGATGTGTAATCCATATGATGCCACGTTATCATACAACACAACTTTTATAATAAAGAACACATCATCAATACCTAACCTTATCATTTTTAGGACAGCCGTCTACATGAACATGGCCACTTAAGCCCTGTTCAACAAGAATAATCCTTTTTAGGAACTGTTTGTCAGTTTCTGCTTTTTTCTTGTTCTTTGAATATTCAAACATAATTTTTTAATTTTGAAAATAATTTTTAATTTTTAAAAATCATGTCAAAAAAATCATTAAACCAAGGTTTGAAAGAGGATAAGAAGACAGCACATTCGCAGTTGCAAACAGCTCATCATAATTGTCAATTTTGTTTTCTTTAAATGCGTAATTAATTAGCCAGTTTTCACCTATCATTTAGTGTCATATAGACCGTATTTTTATTCACAGTAGGGATGAATAGCATTATTCATTTATTTTTCACTCAAGCAACTGAAACTCCCATAGTGATCATTAAAAAGTAATTTTTGTTAATATAAATTAAAAATAAGTTTAATTATTTTGGAAACAACTATAAAGGCACGAGTACATATGTTAAAGAAAGACCAATGTGAAGTTAACAATTTTAGCATCCAAGCCCAGATTGGTACACATTTTTTTAAAATATATTATTTCAAAATTTATTTTCAATAGCACATTTTTCAATAAAATAATATTTTTATCACATCAATAACTTTTTTCTTATTTTTAAACCACATATTTCACATCATATCACTATTTAAAATACATTATTTCGTCAATAATATCTATCGAACATGCTCTAAGGGTGTGTTTGAGCCACTTTTTTTAGGAAGAATGTATTTTGAAATTGTAGATTGATGGAGAATATGTGGGTAAAAAAGAAGGAAAAATTATTGATATGATAAAAAATATTATTTTATTAAAAATGTGTAGTTGAAAATTAGTAAAATAATAAAAATGAAAATTTTAATGTGACTCAAAAGTGGCTAAATATAGTAGTTCAACAAGAATCTATTTGGCCGGCGGAAAGTCATAGTACTTAAATTAACCGCACTTTGAGCCACATTAATAGTGTGTTAGGTGCATATTAAAATGTGAGAATGCAAATACATTATTTCGTCAATAATATCTATCAAACATGCTCTAAGGGTGTGTTCACTTTTTTAGAAAGAATGTATTTTGAAATTGTAGATTGATGGAGAATATGTAGGTAAAAAAGACAGAAAAATTATTGATATGATAAAAAATATTATTTTATTAAAAATGTGTAGTTAAAAATTAGTAAAATAATAAAAATAAAAATTTTAGTGTGACTCAAAAGTGGCTAAATATAGTAGTTCAACAAGAATCTATTTGGCCTAGCAGAAAGTCATAGTACTTAAATTAACCCCACTTTGAGCCACATTAATAGTGTGTTTGGTGCATATTAAAATGTGAGAATGCATTTTTTTGAAGTGATGTGATGGAGAATATGTGGTTGAAAAAGAATGAAATGTTATTGATGTGATGAAAAATATTATTTTATTGAAAAAGGTGTGATTGAAAATTAGTAAAAGAATGAGAACGAAAAAATACATTTTTCAATAAAATAATATTTTCTATCACATCAATAATTTTTCCTTATTTTTTAACCACATATTATCCATCAATATAATATTTTAAAATACATTATTTTCAAATAATGTGGCTCAAACATACCCTTAATAAATAAATTAAAATACTTGGTGAATAAATAGTAATTATTATGAATAGCACAAAATGTAGAGATAAAAAGTAAACTTGAATCAAAGTATTTATAATTTAAACATGTTTCTAGCAAGGAAGTTTGTTTGTCAAGGTTTTCTTTTTTAAAAAATTATTCAATTATAATTTTTTATCTACAAACTTCATAAGATGCACAACTTATTAATAAAATTTAGGAAAAATTGCAACCATGATATCAAATCTTTCATATTTTTGCAAACTTTGTCCAAACATTTGTTTTGTACCACTCACGGCACCAAACCTTTAAACAATTCGCAGCTGGAGTCCAAGTTGACATAAACCGTTAGTTTGATCGTTAGTTGATCAATAATTAAATATTTGACCAATTGTTGACCAATTTTTAAAGAGTAAATGTCTAATTTTATATTTTTCATATGAAAAAAATAAAATAAAACAATTAAATTAAAAAAAACCATGCCACTGTTCATCTTCTTCCCAACCCCAACCCCAACCCCAACCCTAACCCTAACCCTAAGAATAATTGCTTCCAAGAAAAATCTATGGCCTGCGGTCTGACAGAGAATCCTTTCTTCTCTTACCCATAAATGTTCCGATTTGAATCCGCGATCTAGTAAACCGATCCCAAATTTCTCGGAATCGTTAATTTTTCTAGAATCAGAATCAAAATTCTGATTCCATAATCATCCCTCAATTGCCAAGTGTTTTAGCTTCACAGCCTCAACAGACTGGTGTTATAGATACACTTTTTCCACGTTCGGTCTAAAGTCATCCACCACGGACCTCGGCGATGGCACCATCATGCACTGTTGGGTGCCCAAAACCAACAAACATTACAAACCCAATTTACTTCTCATCCATGGAATTGGCGCCAATGCAATATGGCAATGGAATGAGTTTATTTCCCCCTTGTCCTCCAAGTTCACCGTATACGGACCAGACTTGTTGTTTTTTGGCGATTCATACACCACAAGGTCGGAGAGGACTGAAGCCTTTCTGGCTCGGTGTGATGAGGACCATGGAGGTGCACGACGTGCATAGAATGTTCGTTGTAGGGCTGAGCTATATTCCCTCAGGCGGTGGAGAGGGTGGTGATTGGATGTGCTTGAGTGTGTTTGGAGGAGAAGGACATGGAACAGGGGTTGTTCAATGTAAAGAGTGACAAGAAGATATAAATCGACAACCTGCGGCGGGGGTGGGAAGGAAAGGGAAGGGGGAAGAAGATGAACAGTAGCCTTTTTATTTCTTTTCTTTATAATTATTTTAAATGTAAAATACAAAGTTCTCATTTTGTTCTTAATGAATTTGGTCAATTTTGACTTTTTTGGTCAATTGGACGGTAACCGTCCATTCAGACCTCCGGTGCGAGTTTTTTTAAAGGTACTGTGGGTGACACAAAACAAATGTTTAGACAACGTCCGCAAAAAAGTAAAAGATTTGGTATCGTAACTGTAATTTTCCCTAAGATTCATAATTTATAAACGTTTAAAAACCACACCAAACAAGTATTAAATACAAACATTTTCCCTACATTTCCTTCTCTTCATTTCATTATTATTACTCTCTAGAAATTCATGTCAATAATGTCTTAGATGGTAATCAAGAAATGGGAGTAAGAATGGTGGACAAAATACAAACTACTTGTGATAACTTATCGTGTCCCTAAGAATAAGAATGAAGCTCGGTCTAGCTTGCCGGTGAACCTTGGGTTATAATACAATATTCGTACTTGTTTAAGACTATTTTATAAGTCTTTATTAAGGTGTTAAATGAGTCAGGTTGAGTCTCTCGCCTACTGTCGGCCTTGGCCCAGCCCACTGGGTAAGTTGACTCGTTCAATCGAAATGTCGTCCAACTCGCACACAATTCGAAAATATTTATTTGTTTATTTAAAATTATGTTGTTCACTCGATATAACGAGTTAACTCTCAGGTCATTGAAGAGATGGCTCATACGCGAGTCAACCAGCAAGCTAGCTCGTTTGACTCATTGACTTGTGAGTCAGCTTAGGCGACAAGAAATTCGTAGAACATCAAGTCTCGTTGGCTTGCTCCACCCATTTAGTCTTCCTCTTCCATATATAGTTTCCACAATCTCTTTAGTTGATATCATACATTTTCTCATGAATTGGAGTTGTTGGTAACTTTTAAATGAGTAATTGTGATGAGAATAATGTTATCTAGTATCAGTAAAGCTAAAATACCAATTTAGATAAATTAAATGATAAATTTAATAAAATATGAAATTAAGTAATTCATTTCTCACCTAAATCAATAATGGTTTAAAAGTATTAGCCTTGTGATTAATATGGAGTCGGCAGGAAGTGATTCACAAGTTCCTTTTGCAGAGATTTTGATGATTCAAAGGGAAGGGATAGGGTCTATTACTTTCACAATCTGGCAGGCAGCAGGCTTTGAATTTGTCCAATACGAATCGTACTAACAAAATGATTCAGAAAATCCACCTACCACATAACACTAAATTCCATTTCTCACAACCCAACTCCCGGCCCCATTTCTGACTCTTCCTCCCACATTTTTCCCAAAATCCTTTTTGTTTTTTCAAAAGCAATAAGATTCTGTTCTATTCAAGTCATTATACATATTTACGTGTAGAATGGGTGGAGAGGTTCGCTCGGCATTCAAATTATTGTTCTCAACTTTGAACCATTTCAAATCCAATTACCTCTTCAAATGTCGAACGGTCAAGAGAGAGATGGAACAGGGGGATGCTATCGCTTAGCATCGAAAGTTTTGTGACTTGAATAGTTCTCTAAATTTAACGTATTGTGTATACCATATCGACCCATCCGACACATTTTTAACCTTTACACGACCTTTTATTTTCCCTTTAGTCCTCCACCCTACCCTACCCTACCCTACCCCATCTCCTCTCCAACTCCATTTTTCACATGTTCCCATTGATCTTAAATACCGACTTCTCGTTCCCTAACTCTCTCTTACGAGATTTCAGTTTTTTCTTAAGATTTACATAATCCATCTCTCTCTGTCTCTCTGAATTTTCATTTAAACAAATAAATTCATCTCTCTCTTTCAATATATCATTCTTTAAGCAAAATCCTGAGCTTCGAAAATGAAGGAGATTTGGACAACCATGGCATCAATGATGGGGGTGTGGGCTTTTTGCCAAAGCCTTCTGCACACAGTCTTCCCGCCGGCGCTCCGGTACGCTTCCCTAAAATTCCTCCAGCGCCTCCACAGCTGGTTCTCCTCCTACTGCTACTACGACATCACCGAGATCGACGGCGTCAACACTAACGAACTCTACAACGCTGTCCAACTCTATCTCAGCAGCTCCGCCTCCATCACCGGCACACGCCTGAGCCTCACGCGCGGACTTAATTCCAGCACCATCACCTACGGCCTCTCCAACAACGACCGCCTCGTCGATACCTATAATGGCGTAACCGTTGAATGGGAACACGTCGTCACTCAAAGACAATCCCAAACATTTTCTTGGCGACCACTGCCTGAAGAAAAAAGAGGGTTTATTCTGAGGGTGAAGAAGAAAAACAGACAGGTGGTTTTGGGTTCTTATCTTGATTTTGTTATGGAAAAGGCTAATGAAATACGTAGGAAAAATCAGGACCGTTTGCTTTACACAAATTCACGTGGTGGCTCCATGGACTCTCGAGGGCATCCATGGGAATCCGTACCCTTTAAGCATCCCAGTACTTTCGAGACTTTAGCTATGGATCCTGAGAAAAAGGCTGAGATTATGGCTGATCTCTTAGATTTTGCAAATGGAGAGTCATTTTATCAGAGAACTGGGAGGGCTTGGAAGCGAGGGTATTTGTTATATGGCCCACCCGGGACTGGAAAATCCAGCATGATTGCAGCCATGGCTAATTATCTCGGGTATGATATTTATGATCTCGAATTGACTGAAGTGAATACAAATTCTGAGTTACGGAAGTTACTTATGAAAACTAGCTCAAAATCTATTATTGTTATCGAGGATATAGATTGTTCAATCAATTTAACTAATAGGAAAAAGAATGGTGGTGGGAGTGCTAATTCCGGTGGCCGGAAAAATAACCATGATGCTGCATCCCCGGCACCGCCTGGGGCTAATGGAGAAGATGGTGGCAGTACGATAACGCTCTCGGGGCTGCTGAATTTTACAGATGGATTGTGGTCTTGCTGTGGGAGTGAGAAGATTTTTGTGTTCACTACAAACCATATTGAGAAGCTTGATCCTGCATTGCTGAGAAGTGGGAGAATGGACATGCACATAAACATGAGTTATTGTTCTTTTTCTGCATTCAAGATTTTGTTAAAGAATTATTTGGAGTATGAGGATACTGACTTAGAGAAGCCAATGCTGGAGGAATTGGAGGGGGTGGTTGAAGTGGCTGAAATGACGCCTGCCGATATCAGTGAAGTTCTGATCAAGAACCGGCGAGACAAGAACAAGGCGGTCCGAGAATTATTGGAGGCATTTAAGACGAGGGCTGAACAAAATCGAGCAAAGAAATTGCTAGAGAGTAAAAGAAATGAGGTTGAAGATGAAGAGCAAGAGAAGAGGGCTTTGGATATCCCAAAAGATGGTTTTGATCAGTTGGAAGAAACTTGCAACAAATGTGAAGAAAAAGATGATGAGAAGATACACTGAACTGTTAAAAATAAGTTAAAATTTCATCTTCTGTATGGTTCTATCTAGTTCAGTTCAGTTCAGTTCAATACTGAATGTTAAAAGATGTTTAACTTGCAAGAGGTGGGGAAGAACATAGGCAAGCAGATTGCAGGCGGTGAGGGAATTAATTAACATTGGGAGAGAAGAAAACATGATTGTAAGACAATTAATTCGATGTCATTTATATTTTTGCCTTCAATCTTTGATTTAACTCAGTATTTATGTTCATTCAGCATTCTCTTCAAACACCTTGCCCACAATTATCTATTTCTACTGTTTTCCACATAAGATACTGGTATTCAAGTCTTTGCTTATATTGTGCATAGTAGCTAGCTGGCTGATATGTGATTGCACATGGGTTGTGTGTCTTCTGGGTTGGAGATTACGCACTTATTTTGCAATTATTTGGACAATGACATTGTAGCACATTGCCTTACCTTAAGGGGTAATATATGGCTCTAATGTTAACTTTCCAAAGTGACATTTATTTTTGATAAGATCGAGGTTAATTGAGGGAGTTCCGTGGCAAAATTATATTGGAGGTTTCCAACTATTCAATTTGTACTATTCTTTTATTTTAGCAACTGGGTCTTTCCATTTTCTCTCCTCACCCTTCATGCCCAATATTTTTGTGTGGTGCACGAACCACAGTAGAAAAAATAAAAACTTAGTACAGTGCCCATGTTGAAACAGAGAAGAAACATTTGAACAACCAGAAGATTTTATGTTGGATAAAGAAAGATTTACAAGGAAAAGGCTAATGGATAAGCTTCCTCAAAAAGTAGACATTATTAAATTTGGTTTGGTTTTGTTAGTGAGTTGGAAAGGCAAATTTGTGTTTGCATTTTAAGGGTAGTGTGCATTAGTCATATAGTCTACTTGGTGACAGCAACTTTGTGATTATTGTGCCTTTTGATTAAACAACGCTGTGGCGCATCGCATGAAAAAGGTTTCACTTTTTTCGCTACATTTCATTTGTCAATGTTTTAAGTGTCTGAAAGTTAGTGCTTTCCTTCTATAATCCTATTTGCGACTTTCATTTTACTAATATCATTCGTCTGGGTAAAGCTCTTCGATCGCCAATAATATTTATTTGTGTTGGAATCATAGGCGGCCTCGTTAGTGATCAACTCTCAAAAAATGGCCAACATCCAGACGTGCTAATTTGACACTATGTGGTTTGCATGCTTAGGCAAGATTGAACGAAAAGAAAATATAAAATATTATACTCGTTAGCACTCATAAATTAGCGATTATCGGCAGTAATGTCGTCGAAATCTTGGTACCGATGAGAAGTTGTTTGTGACTGTCGACGTTATGACTGATGATGATTCTAATTAAAATCAATGAAGATGATTTAGAGCAGTAAGTCGGTGATTATCGACAGCAATGTCGTATGTTATCGGGAATCGTTCTTTCGATACTTTTATTCTTTCTTTATAATATTAGGACTTTTAATTTATTTTTATCTTTTATTTCATTCCTGATAAATAATTTCAATTTAATATGTTTATTAACATCTTTGATGGATTAAATTTATTAAACTATCCATGTTTTTAATGTTAACCAACTAAAAAATAACTTTAATTATTTTTTAAAATATTAATGACCGATATAACTTTCTACAAGAAAAAGAAAGGCAAAATAATTACAAATTTAAAAATTAGGAGCCTTCGATGAATCATGGACTTTAGACAATCGCTAAACTCATCTAATGCTTGAGTCGACTATGATTTTGCTTGTAGACTTGTGCCTTCATAACATTTACTACTAGTGATATGATTCGTTTAAAAAAATAAGTTTCATAAAACAATTCAATTGTTGATCTAGTTAGTGCATAAATTATAATTTAAGCTAGTATTTCATAAGACCCACAATTATTTTTCCTTTGTTATCAACACATACTGTAACATTAACGATATGTGATTACTCAATTTTAATTTACGTACACACGATCTTCTCCTGAAAGTGTTACGATTTATAAAAAAGTGAATAAAGAGATCATACACAAATTAGATTCACTCGAACAAAGCTCTAACAAATTCAATTTTTTCGACACGAATATATTACTTGTATGTTACAAACTAGAAAGTTTATTGCAATGATATTAAGGCGGTGCGAATTGTAATAAGACAAGACATGTACCTTATAAACATATGCTGGCATGCATTATATTCTTTTGTACTTTTTATAGTTTGGAGTCAATAAAGATAGAGATTGTTCCCTCGTGTAACAATGAAATATGGTCCAATAATTTTAACCTTATTCATTTAACTCCGCATCTTCCAATTATAGAATCGATTCTAACACTTTCACATTGATTGCCTTACTTTGTTTATTCAAAACGTAAGCGAGATACCATTTTGCGATAATGAATTAATAATAAAATATCACGTCGATTAAATATGAAAATAATGCTTAATACGTAATGTCATGTTATAGAGGTTGACATTTATACGATTAAATTCGGGCCGTATTTTTTATTCGATTGTGGACAACTTGAGTTTTGAATTTTACTAGAATATTAGATTGAATCGAACGAGTAGCAAAAAGGGTTTTAAATTGAACTGATACAACCTGTTATACGAAATAAACTTGCGTGGCATCTCAAGTTTTAATTTTATTTACAAAATTAGTTGAATCGTTTAATAAAGAATTCAATTGAAAACTTTGGTTACCCTTTAACATAAGGAAGAATAAAAATAACACTCTTCCACCTAACTTTAAAACCTATTTGATAAGTTTTGAAAGTTACACGTTCGACCATAAAATCACCTAATAGGTGAATAACGCAAAATTAAATTTATCAATTAAAAGCAACAAATCACTTTTTAATTGTTCTAAATGTTTAGTCAATCAAGTCAATATTTCATGATGGATAAAACCCTTAATTGGGTAAAAACTCTGGAACCAAGCCGTAACTTCCACTATAGACAATAAAAACTTACAGTATGATCAAACCTAGAAAACTCACTAGATTTGCTGAACTAATTCCTGCAATTTTCAAGATCCCTCTGGAACGTGCTTCACTCACACTTGTTTCCGATATTTTTGAATTGTCTATCTCATGTGGATCACCAAAAACACCTTGTTCTTGTACACTTTATGTGCTTCTGGTCCAACTCCTTTAATTTTCAGTAACCTCTGAAAGTTATTAAGAAATCACCTTCCTGATTATATCTAGGAAGTGAGTATTTTGGATTATTTGAATTCAATATTTTTCCCAGCTTGTGGTTAATTGATCTCAAGAATCAAACGGTTAATCTCAATGTCTTGATGTGTTATTGGATCTTGGATTGTTGTTATAAGAATGTAAAATAATGCTCACCACCCATCAAAAATGTAATGGGCATTAAATATTTATAATATGAGGTATTTTGGTAGTATATGATAGATAAAATTTTTGAAAAATGCGAACTAGGGTTTCTCGAAAAATATCGTCGCTCGAGCGACAGACAGGCGATAATGATTTTGTTTTTTTTTTCTCACAAACATCAGTTAGGCGACATGCTAGCATAAATTCGGTGACTCTTTCTCCTTATTCCATACTCGAACCCAAAGATTTCTAATTCCTCTATACAACCCTCCAAAAGACTCTTTAACTTGTAAAACTCTTTTATAACAATTATATTCTTTTATAATAATCATTTTGTCTAAAAAATTATCAACACGACATAAATCCTAACAAGTTGAATTGGATAAAATTACGAGCATATGATATCGTTTCTAACCAATTTTGGAAGACTTGTAGTGTAAAAGAATAAACATTCTTTTATAATTAATTAATACTTCTATTCTATGAAAATTGAGCAGAAAATAATCAAATCTTGATGGTGTGGTAGAAGTGAACAGAATATGCTCATTCTTGAAAGCACATGATCAAAATCTAGAATCCGTTCCTTAGAAATTTGAAGTTTGAATTATGAACAATGAAAATTCCAATTTTGACCAGGATCAGAATAGTCCACATAAACAGCCACTTAATTGGAACAGTATTGAGAATCATATGTACAATTACACTATTATCTTTATGGATTTTGCAACTTGTAGTGAATTTTACTACTTGTACACTAGGGTATCAACTCCGGTATGCAAGCCCCCCTCACAGAGGGAGGTCCATAACTTTTTTATTGGGTGTGGTGAAATTAGGACGTTGATCAAGTCTGAGATACGGTTCAAGTATCTCGTTTTAATCTACCATATACTTCTCGAGCAGCTCTCTCTCTCTCTCTCTCTCTCATCGATGTCAACTGGTTGTTTCTGTTTCTTTAATTGAACAATGGCCAGAACTTCCCTATCTTAAATTCTAAGTAATATTATCGAGAATCTTGGACTAAATCACACGTTATGCATAAACTCTAATTTTTATCTTACGACTAATTAGTTAAAGATTATATATTATAACTTTGTTTGACGAACCATTCAGATTATTATGTAAGTTCGACTCGACCACTTCGTTATATTCTCTTCGGTTGCATTTTGTTCGCAAATCTTGAATGATTGTTTGTTGTTACAAGTGAAATATAGAGATATTAGTTTAACGGGGTAAACACCAATTTGACAAGACTTCTGAAAAATGAAAAGTTACTTTTGAGATCTTTTTGAATACAGTGGCGGATGCATATAATTTAAATTTAGATGTCATAACCAATGATCACATAAAATATTTCCAAACAAAAGTGATGCAAATTTGTCAGCGTGTGACGCCGTGAACAATATAGAGGTATGAACATATCATCCATATTGGAAATATTGATCTCGTTTTGCATTTTCTCATGCACTAATAGTTGTTTTTAATTTAGTTCATTTTTAGTTGTATTTGAGTCCTTGCTTTTGAAAGAAAACGATATACCTTGATTGGAAGATGTACCAATAGATTCGTTAATTTTCTGAAAATCAATATCCTTAGGAAACTCTCACTCACTTTATGATCCTCTAAAAATTTCGCATTTCTAGCCTCGATTATTCTTGGAGTAATA